ACCATCCGTGTCGCATCCACGTCCGAATCCATGTCGAATGTGTCGAACCCGTGCCGAATCCGTGTCGAATCCACGTCGGACTCACGTCGAATGTGCGTCGAACCCACGTCGGAGCACAAGAAAATATTCCGATTTACAAGACAGAAGAGGTCCCCCGAAGATGCACAACATGTATCGCTGGCTGAGGAGGGAAGCCACTTTCTGCCCCAAAAGCGCCCGGTTGCACGATGAGGCGCTGGAAACGACCACGGGACACCTCGATCACACACATTGACATAAACATTAACTTTCGGAGGTACGCGCGGATTTCGCGGATCGGCGTTGGACCTCCCTCCATGGCGCGCGGAGCGCGCCAGTGGCAGCGCCAGAAGACATCCGCGCGGATCTTCGAAAGTTCGTGTATATGTCAACGCTTGTTTCTCTCAAAGCCCAAGGAGCATCGAGCTTCTTCTAAACCCGAACTCTTTCCTTGTTGCGGCATCTTGAGGTGGCGGCATCTGAACTTTACCCCCACCAACCATCGATTCTCCTGACTCGATGGGAACCGGGGGTAGGGTTCCGAATTCGACAGGTGTTCGACTAATTCCGAACCCTACCCCCGCCGCTCATCGGAGGGCCTGAATCGTTGATCGGCGAGGGTAGGGCCACGATTCGGATCTCGTCGCCGAGTCTCGGCTGGACGCCCTCTGTCCCACGCCACCCGGTCCTCCAGGCCCGCCACTCGCGCCGAGTGCTCGGGCTTGCGCCAGGTGGAGGTGAGGACGGTCAGGCAACGCTCACCAGCCTGCTCTATCACCTTGGGAACGCTGGCCGCCCAAATTAGCGCCCCTCCGTCGTCGTCGTCGTCGTCGCCGTCGTCGTCGTCGTCGTCGCCGTTTTCCCCTTTCAGTGTCGGCGGCGACGGCTGTCAGGCCTTCGCAATGACCCCCCTCATGCATCCCCCTCTTGTTATCACATCCTCCCTCCCTCCCCTCCTCCCTGTTCCTCGCTCCTCTCTTTATACTTCAGTGAGGAAGAAGCAGTCCAGACAGCAGTCCTTGCTCATTTCGGAAAGGATGCGCCCTCCATCCGTGCAAATGTTTTACACAGTCCTAAAATCCTTATCGTGGAATTTTGGGAGATCTCGATCGAGAACCCCACTTCGAAAAAGAGCCGCCCTCCATCCGCGTAGCTGTTGCGAAAATTAGAACTTCGGGCCATAGAGCTTAAAACATCTCAAGCGAGAACCGTACGTTGAAACCAAACTGGCATTTATTTACCCGGTCTACCCTTTTCCTTGGAAGCTGCTCAGACGAATCTGCGCGGATTTCAGGCGAGAACACATTACATTAAACAAGTCGCCCCCGCCATCATTGTAACTGTTGCAGATGTTTACGACAAATCTGCGCGGAGCAAAAGGCGAGGACCACATTTTGAAAACCATCGGCTCTCAAACTGTCTGTAATTGTTGGGACATTTTAAACGTGTGCGCGGCGGTAAAACGATAAACTCAATTTTGAAAACGACTGGCCTCGATCCGTGAAACTGTTGGCGCTTTGATGCTTCAAATCGTAAACTGCAAGATTAGCTTAAGCGACACGCCCAGCCCCGCATACGGACACGCCTGGTGGCACGAACACCATCTGAAACGAGGGGGGATGGATCAGCAGGGGGATGATGACGATGGGCAATGGGAACAGGAGGAGGCCTCCTCCTCCTCCTCCTCCTCCTCCTCCTCCTCCTCATGCGCCTCTGCCCGTATCTCCTCCCCCATGACGGCGACGACGACGACGACGACAGTGACGACGACGTCGGCGATGATGACGACGACGGGGGCAACGACGGCAACGACAGCGACGACGACTGTGACGGCGACGGCAAAGACGACGGCGGCGACGAGAACGACTGCAATGGCGACGGCAACGACGACGACGAGTCTCCGAGGAGGCCTCTGGGGCCTCCGCATCCGGTCCCCAGAGGCCCATGCAGGCATCCGCATGCCCCCCGATGGCCTCCGATGGCCTTCAAAGGCCCCCAGGGCGACGTCGACGACGGCGATCGGGGGGCGTCGACTGTCCACCTGCACCGATCCTGGCAGGGCTCCAGCCCCCCTGGATGGGCCAGGCCGGCATCGGCGACAAGCGCACGGCTGGCGGCTCCCCTTCCGTGCCAACTCACCGGGGGCCTCCCATGTCACCTTGCTGGCTCTTGCGAATCGATCGACGCTGGCCAGTGCTCATCGACGCTATCCGACGCCAGGCGACGCTACGTCGGCGCGAAACCACGCCACTTCGGTGCTTCCCTGTCGACTGCCAGGTGCTGGTGCACGCCAGTGAACGAACCCTCGAGACGGCCTCGCGAGGACATGCGCGGCCCCCACGAGTGGCTGCCGAGTGAACCCGAGAGCCGCCTGCGCCAGGCGCCCCACGAGCACCGCGGACAGGTTCGACCGCGGGCACGACGCCAGCTCCGCGTACTCGCGGCAGCCGTGGCCCTGCGCGCGCCTGGTCGGCCCCGCGGCCGTCGTCGCCGCCACGCTCGAGGGACCTCCAGACCAGCACGCCCATGTCCGCGCCCTCGCGGTCGGGGCACCGCGGCGCAGTCCCACGGACGCGCGAAAGCACGGGTGCGTTTGGCGAGGGGCGCCCTGCGTCCATGGGATCGCCGCCGCTGCGTCCGAACCGCGGGGCTGGGAATACGGATGTGTCCCCCCCCCCGTCGAAGGGCCTCCAGAAGCCTCCGGTGGGCCTCCGCGGGGACCTCCCTCCAGAGGCGGAGAACGATGTTGGATGCCGTCGTCGATTTTTTCGCCGTCGACCTCGTCGTCCTCGTCGTCGTCGCCGTCAACGTCGTCGTCGTCAACCTCGTCGTCGACCTCGTCGTCCTCGTCGTCGTCGTCGTCGTCGGCCTCGTCGCCGTCGCCGTCGTCGTCGTCGTCGTCGCCGTCGTCGTCGACCTCGACCTCGTCTCCGTCGATGCCCTCGTCGCCGTCGTCTTCGCCTGGCCTGAGCACGCCCGCGAGGGAGTAGGGAGGACAGAGGAGAGAATGGATGTGGGAGGAGAGAGGAGGGATCAGGGAGCAATGAGTATAGAGGAGGGCCGAGGATGGGGAGGGGGAAAGAGAGAGGCGGGAGAAAAACATGTGATATAATGGAGAATGGTGTGGAAGGTTGGGGAGGGACGAGGAGAAAGGAATGTGGAACAATCTAAGTGGCGATGGGGGAGGGCAGAGGGAGGAAGAGAGAAGTGGGGGGAGGACGGGCGGAGGAGCTCCTACATGCCTACTCTGTGTTCCATGTTCGTTTTTTGATTATTTCATGTGTGGGTGTGTTTGTTGTGGTTGCCTCTGATTCCTGCGCAATCCTTCAACACCATGGAATGGGTTCCGAGAGGGCAATGGTGAGGAGGGGGCGATACCATAGATGGTAAAAGGGGTGGAGGGAATGAGGGAAGAAGGAGAAGGAGGAGGATGGAACGAAAAGGATGCGTGTGTGTGGGGGAAGAAGGAAAGGAAGAGAGAGGGGTAGTGTGAAGGAGGAGGAGGGGATGATAGAGGGATCACGAAAGGAGGGGAAGAGGAAACGAGAAAGGATGGAGAGAGGAAGATGAGGAGGGGGGAGGATGATGGGTGGACATATAGAGGGAGGAGGAAGGGAGGAGTGACTGGGGAGCGAAGGAGGATGAGGTGGAGCAAGAGGAAAGAACGTGCAGGGAGGACGGAAGATAAGAGGATGAGGAGGGAGGGAGGGAGGAGAAGGAGAGATGGAGTAGTAGGAGGGGAGGGGTGGAGGTGGGGAGGGAGACTGAAGACTGCAAGAAGACGACGTCTTCCCAACAAGCATATTGAAACAGAAAACCGTGAGAAGACCACACGTCGGCCGTGCTCCGCTGCCCACCCGAGGACGGCTTGGCGGCGTAGGGTGGCAAAGGTCCCCTGAAGCCTTCACCGTTATTTCGACCCCCTCAGCTGGAGGTGTGTGAAGGGGCCCCAGGATACACAAATAAATACATACAAATAAAAGGATCCCCCATATTTTTCATATTTTCTGGGTTTTTGTCTTCCCCCCCACTTCCCATATTTTCCCATATTTTCTGGGAATCGCCGATTAATTGTGTCTGTGTTTTTTCCCCTCCTGAGGAGTGCAGGGAGGGAGTGCTGAACTGCATGGAGGGGGCGAGGCGGGGCAGCCGGCGCACGCAGCAATGCCCGAGGCGCCTGTGGGTCGAGACGAGCACCTCGACCCTGTTGCGCACGGCGGGCTCCAGGCCGTGCCAGTGCGAGTGCCAACTGATGGGGAGGATCACTACACCCTGCGAAATGCTTAAGAAATCATGGGTTAAGAAATTCATAGTCTCAGAACTTGAATAAAAACCCAAACTTTCCATCAAAATCTTAGGATTTACATTGAAACATTAAGAATAATCGAGACCCTGGCCGAAAACTTAGGTTTTCTTAAGCATCGCCTAAGGTGTAAGCTGGCTGCAGGCTTCAAAGGGTAACCTAAGCACGTCTTGAAGGGAGAGACGGTCGTCGGCGAACTGCTGGAGTCTGTTGGGCAGCTTATGGGATTGCCTGTTACCCCAGAAACCATCGGTTGGGGGTGCGGAGGAGGAGGGGGAGGGATGGTAGAGACGGGTCGAGGGGGAAGAAGGATGCGATGGAAGGAGGAGGATGAGGAGGAGGAGAGGGAAGGGTGAGGAAAGAAGGGGGAGGCCTGAGGCCGAACGGAGGGAGGGAGGGGAGGAGCAGGCAAGGGAAGCGACGGAGGACGGGGGAGGAGGAGACGCGACGGGAAGAATATGCACACGACTGCAGTCCCAGAGGAGAGCACGTGAGACTGCAAGCAAACCTCCGTTTTGAGCCCGCCCGCTCCACAGTATGTCAGGGCTGCCCGCCATGTAGCGAACGCCCCAGGTATGCTACTCCTGAGAGGCAGTCGACCATTCGGTTCCAATTGCTGGCAATTGCTGGCGAGGGGCTTGCAGCCCAAACCGATTACTCGAAACTAGTCAGGAGCTTTGCGTGGCGGGCAGGAAGTGTATGTGTGGGGATCTTCTAGCACGAGTTACTGCCCTCCTCCCCTGCCCCCGCGATCTTCCACCATAGCAGGGCATGGTCGGCGATGGTGCTGCTGAAGTGTATGGCATTGTCGGCCCGCTCCACGACGACGAAATTGAGCACGCCATCGATGTCCACAAAGAGCACCGTATCGATCTCGCCTCAAGGCTGGAGAGAACATCTGCTCGCAGCAAAAACAAATCAAGCTGGCATCCCTTGGGGAAAGCACCCCGACGGCCCGAACGGCGGGATCCGCTTGGCAAGGCGCAGGGTTGCGCACAGACGACCCCTGGTTCGCAGCCCAAGGCAGCCTGAACAAGCCGACCAGCCATAACTGGGTGGGAGAGCTGTGGTCCCTACCCCTGGGGGGAACCCATCGCATCGACGATCTATCGAGAGGGGTGTCGAAATCGATGGGTCCCCCAGGGGGGTAAGGACCAAGTCCCCCAGGCAATCTGGGGCGGTCTCAGCACCCCCCCCGGGCGCGCAACGCCCCTTGAGGCGCCGCCAGAGGCGGCGAGGGGTTGTTGAGATCGCTCAGGGCTGAGTACCATGGAAAGGCCACCCAGGACGACCTCGGGCTGTGTGCCGAGGCCAGAGGGTAAACAGATCTCGGGAGTGAGCAAAATATCGCGCGCGAACTTGGCCGTCAGCTACCTCGCTCACGGAACTGCACCGTGCGCGCGGTACCTTGCCCTGAAAGATCGGGGTCCTGACAGACACGGGTGCGAGCCCGCGGGGTCTTCCGCATGACATGTTCTCTTCTGGGTGCCATTTGACGGTTTCAGGGCCAGTTTTGGCCGAGAGCTGCGAAAACAGTCAGGATCCCATTTCCCTCCGGACGCCTTTTTTCATGGCCAAATCCTGTACTGTTTTTGTGGCGCAGGGGAGCTGGAATTGCGCCATGCTCTCGCTTCTTGTACTCCCAATTACTCATCCTTGGCCTCGTCCTCCATCTCCCCTTCTGCTGCATCCCTACGCACCTACACCTCTCATTCACCTCTCCTTAACCTCCCTTCTAACCCCACGGGACGTCCGCATGCACCCCAGAACCCCCGTCAAAACTCAAGGAGCCCGAAACAACTTCAACACAACCCTCCTGATCCTCCTCCTTCTGGAAGCCTCCCGCACCGCCTGGCACCCCGACCCCCCCTGGGACTTCCCCAACGTCCAATCACTCCGCCCCCCCAGGAGCCTTCAAAACTCCTCCTCCTCCTCCTTCTCCTCCTCTCCTCCGTTCTGCCTCATCCTTCTCCTCTTTATCTTCCTGCTTCTCCTCTTACTCCTCCTCCTCCTCCTCCTCCTCCTCCACTTGCTCTTCGCAGGCTGGAGGACGGAGGACGGTACTGGAGATGACGATCAGAACGAGAACGAGGACGACATAGACAACGGCAACGGCCCGATGATGGCCGTAACAGAAGCCGGCGGCGGACCCATTCGGATGTCCCAGGGCCCAGAAGCAGCCTCTGGAGATCGAGCACGCCGAAATATCGGCCGTCGTGACGCCGCAGGATTGGGGAGGACCACGATGGTGACGACGAGGAAGACTCCGACGACGAACGGCATCGACGACGCCGACGACCCCCTCCTGCACAACAGCAGCCCTGCGCCTCTGACTCCCGGGGCTCTGACCGCGGCGACGAGAGGCATCCCGGAGGCCCAAGAAGGATGAGCAGCGCCCGGACGCTTCGAGCCTCGACCCGCGTGGAAGAGGAGGGGACGGGGACCGTGACCGAGAGTGAGCGCGGAAACGTCGGTGTCGATCTTGGTCAACGTCGATCTTGGTCCGCGTCGGCACGTGGATCATCCTCGCGGATTGGCGACGGCCGGCATGGGCCATGACCGAGATCGATGCCGACGCGACCCCGCCACGTCTCGGCTATGGTCGGCGTGCTTCCTCCCTCGGCTTCTAGGGGGAAAGCAAACCTACCTCGCTTTTGATCACCCTCGCTTCCAAGAGATACCAAACGATGCCAACTTGCAGCCTGTACTGGTCAGGCCGCTTGACGAGGAGGCCCGTGGTATGGCTTGGCTTTGCCTGGACCTGGAAGCGAAAGCGGGGTAGGTAATTCACGCTCTGAGCTTCGGTCGATCGACGAGGACGACGACTCTGGTCGCCTGCCGGGGCCTGCGGGCGGCTCATCGGGGACCCCGCGCCCGCCGACGGAGCGACCAGAGCACCTCCCGCACCCTGCCTTCTCGCGAGCGGGGCCCGAGGGGGGAGGGCGAGGCGGGGTGCCACTCGGCAGGAGGAGGCCCGCAGAGGGAGGGTTCGTCACCGCCCTCGTCGTCATCGCCCTCGTCGTCGTCGTCGTCGTCGTCGTCGTCGTCGTCGTCGTCGTCCTCGTCCGCAGCCGTCGTGCGGCCACAAGGAGCACACGGACAGTGAGCGAAGGCTTTTTTCTGGCCACGGAGGGCCCTGACCACACAAAAAAGGCTCCACGGCGTGGAGCTCCGGAGCGGCCCGCACACCCGAGGCCCACCTCGGCCCCAGGCGGTCCCTGCTTCCACGCCCTGACTGTAGGGAGGAAGGAGGGACGACGAGAGAGAGAGAGAGAGAGAGACGAACGACGGGAGCGGGAGGGAGGAGATAACCAGGGAAACGAACTGTTCCCGACCCTGCGCTGAAATTCGCACAGGAACGCGGATCCTGGTGTATACGGGATTTGGGTGTATATTTTTTTCGCTGCTTCCCTGTGAAAGCGGGGAAACAAGTATACACCACACCACCCCGACGTCGTCGCCGACCCTCAAAATGTCCTGGGATTGCAAAACAGCCCGCCACTGGTAATGTATATGCTCCAGTGTTCGAATAACGAGGACCCAGGTTCCAAGTCTGAACTGTTCGAATGTTCTCCCGTAGCCTCCAACGGACCGAAGAGGCCTCCGGGGAAGGCCGGAGACCCCTGAAGGTCCTCGGAAGCCTACGAATTCTCTTGGCCGGTGTGGTGCGCGCCCTGGCTGGAGACCGGGCACCGTGCTGCCCAGCGAATGGCGTGTGCATGTGCGTGCATGTTCCTGTGCTTGCGCGTGCGTGCGCATGTGTATGTGTCAAGCTTGGCTCCAGTGGGTTTGCATTTCAACGGCGGCTTCGCTCCCAAATGACATGTCTCGATGACCGCACCCCGCCCTCATATTTTCCGAACCGCCCAGCCGCCGACACTTCCGTAGCAACTCATGGGAGCATCTCATGTCCTCTTGCTGGCTCGTGCGAGTCGACGCTATAACCTGCGATAGTCGACGCGGGTCGACGCCAAATCAGGAGCACTCGCATCGATTACCAGACGACAACGCACATTGAATCCACCCTAAAAACAACGGAGATGCAAGGAAATACAAGGTTTTCATGAATCACGACCGACTCATCTTACTCTTGAGTCGGGCCTGTCCCCCTACAGGGGGATTTTGGGCGAAAAATTATTAAGACTAGAAGAATACACCCCAAAATGCCCCAAAATAGCAAACAACTCGTCCCCAGACTATTTTTTAAACTATGTTTGAGCATCCCTCCTGTAGAGCGACACGCCCGACTTACAATCGTACTCGCCCTCGCCGCCGTCCTCCTCGCCGTCGTGGCTGCCCTCGTCGTGCCCGTCCCCGAACAGGCGCGCCCGGTGGAGCCGCGCCGCTGCCCGGCGCGCCGCCCAGAGCGGAGCGCCGCGTCCTCGAGCAGGAGGGGCCGCCGCCCGCCCGGGGGCCCGCGCCGGCGAGGTCCCACTTGTGGGGACGCCCCTCGAGCCGTCGGGGCGAGGAGGAGCAGCATGGGAGGGCTCGAGGATCGAGGGGCCTGTCACCTGGTCGGGTTCCCGAACGTCCAAGACGGCCTAGCCCCAGAAGACTCCAAGAGGCCTCCAAGATCGCTCCCAGACAGCCCCAGAGGCCACCCAAGAGGGCCCGACGTCGGCCCAAGAGGACACAAAGATCGCCCAAGGGACTCCCAAAGGGCACCAAGACGGTCGTGAACCGCTCCAAGGGGGCACCAAATCGGCCTGGACAAGCTCTGAAGGCGACCTCCATAGGCCTCTGACGGGCCAGGTGTCCCCTAAGACCTGAGACGGCCCCAGAGGCCCCAAGAAGCCCCTATGAGGTCCCATGAGGCCTCCAACCCCCAAGAATCTTTCAGGACGCTCCCAGGAGGCCCCCACAAAGCTCCAAAAAAGGCCCCAAGAAGCCTTCTCCTCCTCATCCTCATGTTTCTGTTGTTAGGTTTTTTTTTTTGTTTCTCTCTCTCTCTCTCTCTCTCTCTCTCTCCTGATTCAAAGTACTCGTCGGAAATATGCAATTACTGCTCTCAACCTCCTTCCTTCTGCGATGCTGCACAGGCGCCGTGGCGGGTCTTGCTGCAGGCAGCAGGATCAACAAAAAGCTCTCCAACGCGGAAACCTGAATGTCTCCGCCCCTTTTTCTGGACCCGCTTTCCGTCCCGCTCAGTTTTTCAACAGTCCCGTACCCCCTCAAGGAACCCCCATTGGCACAAGCATCCACTTTCGGAGGTCCCGCAGGGACCTCTTGGATCTGTTCCGGGAAAACTGCAGAGGGTTCCAAGACAGCCCAAGACGGCTCCAAGACAGCCCAGCTCGTATCGCCTCAGGCAGCCCAACAGGCCTCCCAAAGAGCTCCATGAGAGCACCTGCGAAGGTGATTTCCCGGTGGTTTCTCAGCGATTCTCAAGTTCTTACCTTTTCGGGCGTCCGTCGGCTCAAGACGGCCCAAAAGGCGGCCACGATGGCCCCAAGACGGCCCTAAGCTGACGCAGGAAGCCTCTAAGAGACCCCAAGATCGCCAGAAGTCAGCCCACGTGGTACTCTGGACGGCCACAAGGCGGCCCGAGGGGACCCCAAGAAGTCTCCCAAGAGGGCTCCAGAGACCCCCAATCAGGGACCCACGAGAGGGAATCCGAACTGACATGCGGAGCCTTTCCTAAGCATGGCTCCCGACAGGCCCCCGAGATGCTGCCGCCCTGGGGACCCAAACCACTGCCCCGAGAGGCATCGGGAGAACAATACCGCCAAGAGGGCGCCGAGGCGCTTTCCGAAAAACACAAGGAAGCTTCTCAAAAAGGCGTCTTGTCCATGACCCAGGCGTCTTGTCCACGACCCAGTCTGGACGATTCGCTAGATGGGGAACAACAGCCATAGGTATACACATCTACACGTACGATACAACTCTCGTGATGTGTATATATACATATATCGTTTGTTTCTTTAACTCTCGCTCTCTCTATATAAATATATACTAGAACCACGCGCGCTCCGTGCGCGCTCAGGTTCTAGCAGTTCCAAGTTGCAATCCAACCAAACATGTTCGGTGTCGGGAGACATATTCTGTCACACGGAAGGGGTTCCACCTGCGGCCCCAGAGACAAGCCTGGCTCACCGTACCCCTGCCCATGTCGGCACACCCCTGACAAGGCTTGCGCCCCACAGGGAGCTCGATCGACGTCCCCAGGGACAAGGTTCGCATCGTGGCACGCCCTTGAGGCGGCTTGTGCCCCGCAAGCGCAACTGCTTTCGTGGCGCCAGAGGGGAACTTCGTAGCGTCGCCCAGCTCACTTCGGCTCACCTCTCACACGGATCGTGGCCCACAGGGATCTCCACCGACGGCCCCAGAGGAAGAGTTCGCACTGCTCCCGCCCCTATCTGGTCATTGCGACACACGCCCCATCACGAGGATCGTGCCCACAAGGAGCACCACCTGAAGGCCCAGAGACATGTCTCGTACAACGCCCCCCAGCCAATGTCCGCACACCCGTCACGCGAATCAGGCCCCTGAAGGAGCTCCACCTATAGCACCAATGGGCAACTTCGCTTGGCATCCCCCTCTCATTTCGGAACATACGGAGGCCCAAACCTGGGCCTGGGAAAATTCGAGATCGTCCCTAAGACCGTGAACTCAGTGAAAGAACATGGTGTGTTGCATCACTAGTGTTTAAACGTAAGCCTCATCGAGGCAACATCCCTAACACCCACTGGTTGCTGCGTGCAAGCTTCTCCCCGGGGGCCCGCCGTGACTCCAATTCCCGCTCTGTGGGCTGAATCATTTATCTTCATGAGGCCTTGCTTCTTCAGAAGACCGCCCCAACCTCCCGTCGTCATTTTGACCAGGACGGGAATCAAGGCAGTGCACGGCGACAGCAGAGCCGAACCCGACCGAAGCGACAGCGAAACCGAAACCACCCAAATCGACAGGCCGCGAACAGCCTAGACGGGCGCAGCGACGCGGCAGCGACGAAATACACGACCGAACCGAGCCGAAGCAACGCAACCGACTGCGACGCAGCCGAACCGACCGAACCGCGAACATCCTTGGGAATGGAGACCCGGGGCGCGGCGGGCGCCTCCTTTGCGGGCGCGTCGGCGGGCCCGGGCCCGGCAGGGGGCGCGGCGGGCTTCGCGATGGACACGAACCCGAACGAGCTGTCCTCGGCCAGGCGGCGCGCGCAGGCCGTCCTTCCCCGCCTGCGTGCGCCCTCCGCCCCTCTTTACGTCTTCCTCCCCCTCCCCCTCCCCCTCCTCCACAACTACACAATCTGAATACTACTCTCCTCTCCCCTGATGACGTGCAGAAGATACCCGGCCCCCCTCCGCCTGCTGCTTTTTAAACACAGGATTCCTTGGAAATTGGTCGTCCCGCTGAAGCGCTGGCCCCGTTTCTGCGCCTCTGGTTGTTCCAAATCGTGCTCCCGCTGCAGCGCGTGCGTTTTCGGTCCTTCAAGGTAGGCCCCGAAATATAAAACATGCCTCCCGAAAAACACATCGGACATAATCACACATGCGGTGCCAATTTGTTGATGTTCGGGGCCGCAGAAGCCACCCCACTTTGGGGCGTCGTCGCGTTCAGCAAGTATCAAGCAGGATAATAATTTCTGCTTTGAGAAGGACATGTTGGAAGCAGAGCCAGTGGGTGCTCTCAATCAGCCCCGCCTTGTGTGGAGCTTTTCGGGGAGCCCAAAGAGCTAGACATGGAGCCATGACTCCAGACCGGCCTAGACCTCTCGAAGACGATCCACCTACACTCGAAGGACCCTGGCGCCATGCCATGACATGCTGTGCGGTGTTGCGTTCTGCGTCGCTGTGCGATAGAATGCTTTGCGTTGCAATGCTTTCTGATGCAATGCTTCACTGCGCACTGCCACGCCATGCTATGGCATGCTTCGCTTTACCGTGCTCTTCAACGCCGTGTCAAACCGTGCTCTACCATGCATCGCGTACCCTCTCGCGATCAGTGCCCTGCTCGACATCCGACTGTCCAAATAGAGAGGATATTTACGCCATGGTAAGGGATGGGAAGGGGTAGGACGTCAGACATGACGTGAGCGCACCTAGCTTGTTCTCCTCCCCCTCCCCCTCCTTCTCTTCCTCCTCCTACTCCTCCTCTTCCTCCTCCTCGTCTGCCTCCTCCTCCCTCCTCCTCCCCCTCCCCTCCTCCCTCCTCCATCCTCCTCTCCCCTCCTCCTCCTCCTCCCCTCCTCCTCTCCTCCTCCTCCTCCTCCTCCTCCTCCTCCTCCTCCTCCTCCTCCTCCTCCTCCCCGAGCCTGGGAGCCTGGCGTCGGCTCCCAGGCTCGGAGTGACTGCTTGAAAGGTGACCACGACCCCCTTGGGGTCGAAACCAGTGGAGTCTGGGGGGCTTCTCCGGGGACATCATACGGACAGGCGAATCCTCCTGAGCCACCTGGAGGTCCCCCGCCTCCGCTGCTGGTCCCATCGCGCGCATCGCCGGGGCCGAGAGGTCCATCCCCTCCGTGCGAATCGGCGGGCGAATCGGAGAGCTCCTCGATGACAGGACCCTTGTGCCGAGCATGGCAGATGAGTACCGATCAGTCTGCCGACTGCCCCGGGCCAGACGGGCAAGGACGTAAACGCGGTGGAAAAGCATGTGGCTCCGCCCGTTCATCCTGAGCCGCGCGCCCCGAAGGACTCCCAAGCACAGAAAAAAATCGTCGACATCGGTCCTCGTCCTCATCTTCCTCGTCCTCCTCCTCCTCTTCCTCCTCCTCACCGTTCCTTTTTCCTCCCTCTTCTTCCTCCCCCTCGCTCATCCTCTCAAATGACTCCTCCTCCTCCTCCTCCTCCTCCTCCTCTTCCTCCTCTTCCTCCCCCTCACCGCTCCCTTTCCCTCACTCGTCTTCCTCCGCCTCACTCATCCTCTCACCTGACTCCTCCTCCTCCTCCTCCCCCTCCTCCTCCGCCTCTTCCTCCTCCTCCGCATCCTCCTCCTCCTCCTCTTCCTCCTCCTCCTCCTCCTCCTCGTCCTCCTCCTCTTCCTCCTACTCAACCTCCTCCTGCTCCTCCTCCTCCGCATCCTCTTCCTCCTCCGCCTTCCTCCTCCTCCTCCTCCTCCTCCTCCGTCTCCTCGGGCCGTGACAGGAACCTGTTCGGCCATCTTGCGGCCATCTTGGGGCACTTTTGGCGTGTTTTTGCGTCTTGGGGGCCACTTCGGGGCACTGGGACGCTGTGGGGCCCGGGGGTCATCCTCGGGCTTCTTGGGGCCTCTTGGGCGCCTTTGGGGAGGGGCATGGGGCCTCGTCGTGGCGATCTTTAGGGCTCAGCGGTCCATCTGAGGCGAAGAGGCGAGAAGGCGACCATCATTGGTTTCTCGACGGTTTTCCAGCGGTGTTTGGTTTGTCGGGGGTCTTCTGGAGGTCTTTTGCAGCTCTTTTGCGTTGTCTTGAGCGTCGCTGGAAACGTATGGAGGCTGTATTGAGGCGTCTGAGGCCCCCGGTAGCCGTCCTGGAGAAACTCTGGGAAGTCGTCTGAGGCCCACGGGATGTCTCGGGGCCGTCCAGGAAACCCTCGGAACCGTCCAAGAAACCATGCGGCGCCCATGTGACACGGTGCCCCCCTCGGCCGACTCTAATATCTACGCCGACCTCAGAGGCGTGTGCGGACGAACTGGGCAATCAGCATGTGGACAATCGGCCGACTCCAGAGAAGTGTGAGATATCCTTTCTCGGCAATGCTCTCCACCCCGACCGCCCGACCTCCATGACGCTCGACATCGTCAGCCTCCTGGCGCCTCTGGGCGTAGGTTCTTAGGAACTAGAAACTGCCAACCCTTTGACTCCATTTCTCAAACTTTTCACTCCAAATTTCCGAGCCACCCCCCACCCAACAATTCCGAGCCCGGAACCGACCCTGACCCCCCACCACGTCTCCACCTCGCCCGACCCCCGCACCTTCCTGGCAACTCCATTCTTGGGTTTACCGTCCTGGGAGTTTTGTTCTTGGACCCTCCACCCGACAACTCCTAGCCTGGAGCCCGACCCTGACCCCCCACCACGTCTCCGTCCTGAGAGCTCCCCCCTCAGACAATTCGTAGCCCGGAACAGACCCTGACCCCCCCCCCCAGGTCTCCACCTCGCCCGACCACCGCAATGTCCTGAGAGCTCTGTTCTTGGGCCCCCCACCCGACAATTCCTAGCTCGGAACCGACCAGGACCCCCGAACCCGTCTCCACCTCGCCCGACCCCCCGCACCGTCCTGGGAGCTCTGTTCTTGGACCTCCCCACCCGACAACAAGTCTTAGCCGTTTGGGCGAGGCCTAGGGGGCCTCTTGTGCCGTCTCCGCACGTCGGACGGCAGAAAAGGCGAAAGGGCGAAAATCGCGGTTGTTTGCCGTATTGGGGCCCTCTTGGGAACCCGCTTCTTGGACCGTCTTTAAACCACTCCTGGGGCCCTGTTGGGGCGTTAAGATGCTTCTTGGGATCCTCCTGGTCCGTTCCAAGGCCAGCCTGGCAGCTGTTTTTGGGCCGCGCGCCTCCCCGGGGAACTGCACACACACACACACACACACACACACACACACACACACACACACACACACACACACACACACACACACACACACACACACGCACACACGCACACGCACACGCACACGCACACGCACACGCACACGCCGCACACGCACGCACGCCCACGCACGCCCACGCACGCCCACGCACGCCCACGCACGCACGCACA